GCTCTTACGTTGTGCGTTTCCATTTTAAATACGATTTTTTTTTTCAAATATAAATCTCTTTATTATGGATCATCCATCAAATTAAGATGTAATCATCATCATCATCATATCAGCCGCTAACTGTTCATTGGTGAACATAGACCCACATAAGAAGGGTTTTGTCTGTAGTTAATACGCTTGGCAGGCGGATTGGCAACCGCAGTTAGTTTTTGGTGATGTTTTAAGAAGGACGCTGCTGTCCATCCTTCTATCATTAAGTTGCGATAGTCGCTTCTTATGACACCCACGAGAAAGAATCTGATTCTATGCCGGGACCACACGGCATAGAGTGTAATAGTCCGTTTCAATAGAACTTATTGAAAACGTAACAAAATTTTGTTGAAATCATCACAGAAACACTTTCTAATTTAGTTGCAAATCGAAGTATTTAACTAAAACCAGTCTGTACAAAAGTCGTTTGCTTGGCTACCTCTGTCCTACTCGTATTTCTACCATGCTGCAGTCGTGTTTGCATGGCTGTTTCCGTTTGAAGGGTAGGATATGGCAGTGAAATTACAGGGTGTATACCTCAGGAATGACAACGCTCTCTTTTATGTCCATGGTACTGTTCATGTCTAGGGAGGAAAGGGGTTGTTAGCAATGGAATTTGACAGCCCCATTGCTAGCAATATGCCCTATCAGGTCGACCTCCACGTGATTCCCCCTGGAAACCATCGTGAACAATTCTTGTTGAATTCGTCACGATGGGCTAACTGGCCTGCTTCATCCTCACCTATCATCTTTCACTGATGCCTCGCCGGTGTATACCGATAGCGCGGGTGGCGTTACCATTCCATTATCACTCATAAAAAAAAACTATTCTTGTATATGCTCGAAGTTTACCACTTTTCATCAGGTAGGTCGTCACTCTGTTTTCCCAATTCTAACCTAATTCTTAATTATTGTTTCATTAGTTCAGTACAAAATTGAGATTGGGGTCGATTCTGAAGCGCGACTTCTTTAAATTTATCTCTTAACACGAATTTACTGTTTTGTGACCTATTATAAACCAAGTTTATAATAATTTTGACTTAAATCTATTATCTTAAATATAATCCATATTATAAAATAAAGATTTCTTATTTTAAAGATAAGTTTAAAGACTACGAATTGAGAAAAAAAGTAACTGATCCTTCGTCCTCTTTTTGCTAATAATATTAGTATAACCTTTCAACTGTGTCATGCAAAATGTTGGAAAATCTACATCTGTGGCGTCCCGTGAACGGACTTTACACAGACTAGGTATTTTTAGCGTATAGGTTTAAAATACCTGATTTTTCCGAAATCTAATTGTAATTATACAAAATTCAGATTAGATTTATCTTCCAACTAGATTCCTTCTGTAATTTCTATACATTACACTCGACTTGAATTGCATTGCAACTGTTCTATGAAAAATAAAATTGGGTCACCTATAAATTACCTTTAATTTTTCAATTATTAAAAAACTAAGACCTTGCTGAATGTAAAATTATATAATTTTTGTACAATGTTATATACTTGATAAAATAAAAATAAAATGGCTTATGTTCCAATACATTTTTTTATACAGCACTTGTTTATAAACATGGACCAAAAAAGTCCTTCTTCAATTGACACTTAACTGGGTCTCCTATTTCATTATTTTACATACATTCTTGGCGGTAGGGACAAGAGGTGGTTTGTTTACAATAACTTAAGCTTATCGTCAAGCTAGTTTAGACAAAACAGTATATATGACATTATTATTTATATGTCCGCTAAGCGGACCCGATACAGATGCGCATTTTTTGTCGTTGAGAGGATAAGAAGAAAAGAGGCAACCATATGATTTACTGTTTTTATTTTATCATTCCTTTTATGTTATTTCTTGTTCTTGGCTACAGTTCTTGGTTATTTTAAGGACAAATATGGAATATACTGAATTCATATCGATATTAGATTCGAAAGTAGACTGACTGAATTGATGTCTATGTGGTGAGATATTACATACCAATGTTTATAATATATGTCAACTTTTATAATATAATTAAGTTTTAAAAACAAGCAGACAAACAAACATTTTGTTATATATATATATATATATATCACGATGCTTGGTCACGGCACTCACTCGCAAGATGCGCGCGCAGGTCGCGCAGGCGCTTTGTGATTGTTGGCTGCGCGCGCATACCGCGCACGGGCCAGCGACCAGAGAGAGTGTTTTGTTAACTTGGACAATTTAAAAATTTATTCTTTTTATTGTGAAATACTTATTATTTTTTTAATTATTGATTAAATTTATTTACAATATGAACCCTACTATCAATCCTACATCTAAATTAACTTGAAAAGTAGAATTAATGATGGCGAGTGAGAGTTACGCGTAATGGAGTCAAAAATGTCGCCGTGCCGTGATAGTACAATGGAAACAGAGTAAGATGCTAATCGTATCTTACATAAAATGTTCCACTTGCATTATCAAGATTCTCAGGCCAGAGCAAAACTTTATAAATTACCCGTTCAAACATTGCAAATAATTTTGCAATAAGTGGATACCTAAATTACAGATTCTTTAAAAAAAAAAAAAAAAACTAAAGAGGAAACGTCTGCAGTTGTATTGACTAATATATTATCTGGGGGGCGGGAAGGAAGGGATTGTTAGTAATGGAGACTAAGAATCCATCACTAGCAATATACTCAACCAGGCTGACCTCCACGCGGTTCCCCCTGGAAACTATCATGGTTAATTTCTGAAGAATTCATCATGATGGGCTAACTGACCTGCTTTTGTCCTCACCTATCACCTCTCACTAAATACATTCTGTTGTGTTTTTTTTTTATTACTGAAAATGGAATGATAACCCCGTTTGCGCTATCGGTATACACTGGCGGGGCACCAGTGAGAGATGATAGCTGAGGGTGAAAGCAGGTCAGTTAGCCCATTGTGATGAATAAATCTGGAATACAGCATGATGATTTCCAAGGGAAACCATTTGGAGGTCGACTAGACAGGGTATATTGCTAGCAATTGGATTGGTAGTCCGCATCATTAAAAATCCATTCCCTCCCCCCCCCCCTCCCCCTCCGCATAGACCTTCATGATGAATTTACATGAGCACACTGTTTCTAAGGGGACTATGAGGAGGTCGACTTGACAAAGTAATGGGGAGTAGTCTCCCCATTACGAACAACCGCGAATTAGAATCCGAATGACCTAGGTAGGTACCTAAAAGAACTATCTACCCCATTTGCTATTACAACAGAATAAATTATAATTTTTATTTTGTAGAGAATAAACTTAATAAATATCATATAAATACTAAAATTACTGTTTAAAATGGAAGAAAATATTAATAAAAAATGTTATTGAACAACTAACGCCATCTAGATACAGAACAGATAAAACTTTACACATGACAATTTTCCTTTGATAATGCCGCCGATGCTGCTCGCGCTGGGCGGCTTTCCTTTGAACTCACGCCGAAAGGTGCGGGCGCTTTTTTCAAATCGACCCGACAGCGTCACATCGGAAAAGTTGGAAACAAATTGTGCACAATTAGATATTTTTAATTTTTTATATTTTTAATTTTACCCTATTGCAGAATAAAGAAGGGAAAATATATTTTCGGTGTTAGTATGTTTGTATGTACAGATCCATAATTTTTTGAATATTTTAATTAATATAATAGACTCCTATAATGTAACTAGGTGCTCTCATAGGAGTACTAAATATAGGAATATAGGAGTAATAAATAAATAAATAAATATATGGTGATAGTAAAGCAACCAAAAGTAGACCTATGGCAACTATAAACCACAAAAAATTGCAAAATATCACGAGTAGATATTTCATATTTGTCCCTTCCTTTCAACTAATAACTAACTCTTTCCTAAGACATTGCCTGGGAGAAGAAAACCCAACATATAGGTATAAGAGAAGAAAATGTCGAAGTATCGCTTAATACTGAGTAGGCGTGATACAGCAATTATCCTCCTCTGGGGAGAAGGGATTGTTAGTCATGCGAATCTAACAGCTTCATTGCATACAATATACTTTATCAGGTCGACCTTCACGCGGTTCCCCCTGGAAAACATCCGAGTTAATTCTTATGGAATTTGTCACGATAGTCTAACTGACCTGCTTTCAACCTCATCTATCTATTCATCACAGGTGTTTCACCAGCGTGTACAGACAGCGCAGGCGGGCTTACCATTTCATCCTTCTCAAATGAGGAGACCTGTACCCATAAATTTGATTACATATCTATAGAGTATAAGGAAAACAATGATATATTTATCCGATATTATAAACATCTTAGGTACTTATTTATTAAATTAAATACCAAGAATTTAAATATTGATAAAAAATAAGATTATTATGTCCAGAATATAAATAATCCGCACCCCTGTGCTATTGACATCGCTGACGGCCGATTTTTTATTATTTTATTTTCATTACGCTTTCTGCAATCGGCAAGCGAACGCTATTTGCAGATTTGAAATTATCTATTGTATTAATTAATAACAAATAAGGTGAGTGAACTAAACAATAATTTGATTAAATACTTGTAGTGGTTTTTGATAGAATCAAAGTGTATCATGTATAAGAAAAGAATGACCGATATTTGTTTTTATTTCAATTATTTAATATGTTGAATTTAATTGCTGTCGATTTACGATTAAAATGTGCAATAAATATTATTACTTACTTATTTAAAATCAAAGTATTCCTAGTTTAATGAGATATGTACGTCAATTATTTGGATATGCCGCGGTTTTGACAATTTTTGCCTATAAAGTAGATTAAGTACTTACACAGATTCTTAATTTTAACTTTTTTTTACTAAAATAATATATGAACGTATAGATTAATATTATTTTATGATGTTAATTACTTAATCGTTGTATATTTTTATTCTATTATTAAATTACTACATTTTAAGAAATTTGTAATTGTTTTCAACAAAACGTCACTTCCTCTAAACTTCGGAACCCGGAAATGTTTACTTGCTTAAATAGTAAAATGTATTTTGTCTTTTGTGTTATTAAACATGAATTTATGGTGATTTTCAGCTAAAAATGTTTCCATCCAAACCAATGTTTGACTATATGGACGAAATTAACAGATTATTTCCCAGACCAATAGAAAATGGTGAGTTATTCGTATTTCATATGTTGTCTTCCTAACTAGCTAGGTGTCTACATATTTTGGTTTTGGTTATAAATTGTTATTTGTTAAAAAAATGATGAAACCAATAATTATAGACACATTCGTTGCACAATAAAAATAAAATAATAACTTTGTCTAGATTCGCACTTAGTTGTATTGCTTTGAAATGTATTATTTCTACTTTTTCTTCTTTCTTTTCCCTTTTGTATTCACGTCAGTCCATAAATGTATATGGAATTTATTGCTCTTGTCCGCCTACCATTTTTTGCTCAGAGGACACACTTAGATTTTTTTATTTAAAAATAAAAATACCGGCTTAAGTACCGATTTAAATAAAATTACTTGTTCAATGATAATTTCCAAACCGAAGTGAGTATTCTAATTATAAATTATTTATCTACCTTCACGCCAGAAGCCGCTGTAGGGTAGACAGAGAGAACAGAGTGTCAACAACTTTTATTGTTACACAAAAAAATATAATTTTCTTAATCTATTTCATGTTAATAAAAATCACAACTATGATTTAAAACTATTTAATCTATTTAATTTTGTCCTCTAATTTAAGACTTTACTGTACAATAAAGTGTTACAAACAACCATATTTCTAATTGATTACTTAGTTTTGCCATTCTAATTTGCATAAAAATAAGATTATTTCCACAAAAAAAAAATACTTTACTAAATATAAAAAAAATAATACTTGTAATAAAAACTAGTTATTTTTATTTCAATATTAAACTACTGAACTGATTTTGATAAAATTTCTGTAAAACCAATCTATAAGTATATATATATCCTTTCAGATAACAAATATTTTTTTCAAATTAGTGTATAAGTGATGAAGTTATGAGGTAACAAACATAAAAAAAAAGCTGTATTAAGAATCTCCTTTTCAAAATCGATTAAAAAAAATAGATAGATAAACTTTTTATTTGAACCATTTATGACAAAAATTTACAAATGAATTTATACAATCAAATTATTTACACTTTTTAAAATATACAACAAAAGATAAAATATGGTTTCGCCATGTGTGTCGCAGTGACTCAAATAGGCTACAGCTCAGTGATGGTTTTACTTAAAAGTAAAGCACTGATTTTCAGCTGCAGCCTGAAGTTAGGCTACACAGACGCGTGCAACAAACCCAGAGTGTAACCTGTGTAACCAATTTAAAAGCCAAAGATAAAATTGTATTATATAGATACATACTTACATAAATAATGCATAAATAATATATTTTATTAATTAATTAAACATACAGTATAAATAATTCACCACAATAATTATTATGTTGAATGCAGTTGCTACCAGGCGACCAACCCAAATTTTTGTTTAGTTAATAAATGCTGTTTTAATAACTTTTTAAAAATTAATTTGAATGAAATAAATCAATATCAATTCTATACTTTTGTAGTAATGATTCTCTCAAATTAATTACATAGGTAATATGTAGACAGAAAATAATACAAGCTGTGTATATCTTATTGTGATTTATAATTACTCCATGGATTCAATTTACATTTATATAATTCATTATACCAATGAAAAGTATAAAATTACCTAGAGTAAACTACCTATATACATATATTTCATCAAAAATACACAATACTTTTATTATTTCAGACTTACTACCATCACCAAGTGCACAAAGCAACACCAGCTTTCTATCATCACCGATGAGCTCAGGAGTTGTCAACAGATCTTCCAGCTCTGCAGACTCAATGTCTCCAGATTCTTTTCCTCACATCTCCACTATTCAATCTCCTGACTTAACCAGACTGCCACATCCTAGCACATTCCCTGATACACCTATGCGAAGATACCGTCCTATAGTCGGTAGAAAGTTCCAGAGCACAGCACAGCCAGTGCATCCTAATGTAGTCCAAACATCACCTCCAAGAACATGGGATCAGGACGTGGAGTTGGCTAAGACAATCTGGCAAAATGATGAGCCTCTACCATTCTCCCATACACCCCCAAAAGATCGCAACTTTTCTGAACAAAAAAATTCCACACAGAATGTGTATTATGAACTGTTTCCCAATAAAAACGTAGGATATGAGAATAAAACACCTGTTAAGGCTGAAGCTCCTTTGATGACTTCCAGTTCTTGTAATGTATCACCAGATTTCTCCCAAATAAGTCGTTCACCCCTCCAATCTCCCATACTGCCGAATCCAAGCCATTCTCGTGCAATTTCACCAATGTATAACGTTATACCAAGCTCATCAAATTCCCCTCCTGATAATACAAAAGTGTGCACATTTTGTCGAAAAAATGGGGAGACTCCAGTTGTGTTTATGACTCATACAGTTAAAGAAAGAGTTGGTAACACTTTTATTGTTTCTTGCCCGATATTAAGATCACATGTTTGCTCTACTTGTGGTGGTACTGGAGATAATGCTCATACTATGTAAGTAAGGTAACATTTATTATATGGACAGATATTGATTTTATGCAACTTAGTTATGGCAAACAAACTGACGGCCCACCGGACCCAAGTGGTAACCGTCGCGTATCAACCGTGACATGAGTAGTACCATGGACATAATAGATTATACTATTTCGTCCATGATACCTCCCGTGCGCATTACCATTCCTGAAGACTTAGGTGCTATTCCTCTCTACCCTGTAAATTCACTGCCATATCCCACCCTTCAAATCAAAACAGCCATGCAAGCATAACTGCTTCACAGTAGGAACACAAATGGGACAGAGGTGCCCAAGCAAATGACTTTTGTACAAAATCTACCTCTAGTAGATAGATACTCTTTGTTGTTTCATCCAAAAGATTACAACAGTAAACTAATTATAAATAGGAACAATTACAAGAAATAAATAGATTCATATTTTTTATGTAATATTTTATGATAGAAAAGCAAATGCGTATTTGAGCATTAGCTATAAACAATAGAAATATAACCACAATTAATATATGTTTATATGCTGTTACCCTGGATAATCCTCTTTTTTTATATTGCAGAACATACTGTCCAGTGCTTCGCAACAGAAACAATGGCCGCCCTTTGCAGTCTACAACCATTACACTGAAGAATACGCGCATTAAGAGCAATGGTAGAAAAAGATTTTAATTTTATCTATGCCTGTCTGTAACAGCTAATTTACTAACTTTATATCATTGCAGTTTAATATTATATTATGTGCCACAAATATCATTGCGTCTAAAGCTATTAAATTATTGGCGCCAAAATGTATAGAAAGGGAAGTCACTATATTCTTAATCTAAGCTCAAATTGATGATCCTTAGATTAAGAATAAGTACTCTTTCTATTATGGGATAAGTTCTATCCATATTTATCGTGTTTATTATCAGTTATAACTGAAAACCAGCCAGAATAATCATGAAATTAAATCACTTTTTTCAAGGAACCTCCTTAAGACCACCTTAGATGCTTCGCCAATATGTGCGGGAATCATTACCTAATAAATAAGGCATACATATAAAAATTGTCTGCCAATAGAATGTGGTAGTGACCGAGCTTTATTTTTTATATATTTTTAATACTACATTCCATCTAGATATGTATTATGTGGAATTTGAATGTAAGCTTTAAAAATTACTATAGTTGTTCAACCAATTTTCCTGCAAATGAATATTTATATCATTCAGACATGAACAGCCAAGGGTCATTTTCAAATTCATTCTCCTTAATAGTTAAAAATGTATTCATAAAATATAATAGTGGTCATAGCAAAAAATCGCTTATACCTATGTATTTTTTTTAATGGGTGAAAATGGATTGGTAACCCCGCCCGCGCTATTGGTATACACCGACGAGGCATCAGTGGAAGATGATAGGTGAGAATGAATGCAGGTTAGTTGGCCCACCATGATGAATTCGACAAGAATTAAACATGATGGTTTCCAGGGGGAACCGCGTGGAGGTTAACCTGAGAGGGTATATTGCCAGTAATGAGGCTATTAGACCCCATTACTAACAATCCCTTTCCCCCATACCTATGTACTATAAGTACATTAAATAATATTTTTTTAATAATTGATATTAAATAATGTTTTAAAACTTTTTATATGGTCCCCATTTGTCTTAGAACCCATAAATTAGTTATAAGTAATGTTTTGTCTATATTACATGAGCTACCTTCACCGACTGTTTAAAACTGGGAACTTATACGCCGTGCACTAAATCATGTAAAACTAATTTAAATTTACTAAATTATATATTATAAACCACTGAATTTGGTTAATAGTAATCCAAAATATAGTGTTTTCGATCCCAATAGTACAAAATGAATTTAAATATAAAACTTCATTGGCATATAATATAATAATTGCAATATTTATTTATATTATACTAATTATTCTAACATTGCAATATGTCTGATTGCTGGAATAAATTGAAGTTTGAATTAATATCGAATGCAACGCGATTATTAAAAAAAAAAAGTAATAGATTTTGACTATGGGTTTATATTTAGTACTATTTGCACGATAACTTGGTGGCTATATTGCTTTTTGCTAATATGAGATTTGATAATAATTATAGGTATACATATTGAAATAATGTTCTTTTTCTGAGAATTTATATTTATCAAACTTATGCAGCTTGCATGGTTTTATACCAATTTAATTATATTCAAATAATTTTAGATTTGTTAATAGGTTAAGTTTTACCTTCAGAAGACTTCAATATGATTAATTTTGTGACAAGGGTGGCAAATATGTGTGAGTATACTCGTATGTATGTATGTAATTTTATGACTGGTTAGAACTTTGTCACAGTAAATCTATTGAAATTTTCTAATAAATTGGTATATTAAAACTGATTTTAGGATAACTAAACAGTGCCATCTGTTGTAGAATACATGCTCCTTGGGATTCTTGTCCTATTAATACAATAATCACTATAGTAGTAACATTTTACTTTTGTTTTTACTAATGACAATTTTTTTTTTTTTTGACAATAATTATGACAACATCAATCATGTTTTTTATTACGTACTTTTTCATTTGACATAATAAAAAAATTATTGACAATTTTAAAAATCTTGACCAACGTTTTATACAGATACATATTGTATACTAAAATATGACTAATTTAATTTAATTTTAAATTAAGAATACGGAAACTTTTTTTGAATAATGTATATTTTATCTTGACCATAGAAAAATAAAAATTTTAATTATACTTTTTAATCTGAAACTGACTAAATACAAAATTGTATTTTCTTGTTTCTTTTACAGAGTAATGTGAATCTATTTATACATAAAAAAACACTGGTTCCAATTCTGAAATCTCATGTTTAATTATATCCTCATTCCGATTAATTTCTATATACATATTTTTTTTTATTTTTCAATTTTATTATTAACTGCCATGCTATCATTTTCATGTCATGCCAAACTTTTTTTGACTCTTCAACAATATTTACCATTTTTTTAAGATAAATTGTTAAAATTAACAATTTATGTCTACAATTCTAATAAAAACATTTGAGACTTATGGTATTCTCAAATGTTTTCTGTATATTTATTGATATGTGAATTAATTATGACATTATGGTACTTATAGGTGTGTAATTAGATAATGCACCTATAGCTTGGTTTACAACGAACAAATTTAATAAGCAATTTATTTGCTATTGTTTGTTTGTTTACTTTTTGTTGTTACATTTGTCATTGTGAACATGGCAATATTTTAATAATAAACTTTTTTTTTTTAAGAATAAATTTGTTTTGGTTAGGTTTTAAGTACATGTTAATCCATATATTTCGTCAGGTAATAAGGTGACACTAGAAGGGAAATAATTAAATTTGACACCACAGAGGTATTAGCTTTGAATCTGTATAGACCAGTGTTTCCCAACCTTTTTTTTTTTTGTGCCATGCCCCACTTGAACATTTCTAATATTTTATGCCCCCATACATAATTTTTCCCGAAAAGTTTACTTAACGACTCTAATCGCCTAGTTGATATTTTGGTAATATCAAACAAAATTTTACCTAATAAATATTCACAGTATTTTTTTTTTACCTTTTTTTTATGTTAAATTGAGCACCGGTATCTACTCGTAGCATTGGATTTAAGTGGCCCGGAGCAAGATGGTTAAAATCGCTTTGAGTTCATTTTGTAATTGTCCCCCATAACTACAATTTTTTTTTTATACAACTTAGAATGGCAAACAAGCTGACGACCCACCTGATGGAAAGTGGTAACCGTCGCCTATAGACATGAGCAATACCATGGACATAACAGAGTATACTGTTACGCCCATGGTACCCCCATGCGTTGCCATTCCTGAGGACTCTGGTGTTATTCCTCTGTACCCTGTAAATTCACGCCATATCCCACCCTTGCCCACCCAAGCAAACACAATTGCTTCACGGTAGAAACGAATGCGACAGAAGTACCCAAGCAATCGACTTTTGTACAGTATCCCCTTAGGGCCCATACCCCATGTTGGGAAACGCCGGTCTAGACATTTACTAAAACTATCAATTTACAAACAAGATATTGTATAGCAACCATAATGTTATTTGATTTCTGATAGATTTCATAATCATTTAAACTGACTATTAATGTTAAGATTTTATTCTTTTGACTCTCAACATAGGTGTTGACTTTTAAAAAAAAATTGTAATTTAAAATTACACTTCATACTTCACGACTGTCCAAAGTATGTTTTATGAAATTTAAATACCTCGATTTGTAGTTAATTTAAATATGAAATAACTAATTGTTGAATAAATAAAAAAAAATTAGATTAAGATTGATTGAAAAGTTAATAATTAAATTTAGAAAAAAAATGTTTTGTTTTTTAGAATTTCTATTCTAAATATTTTGTACACTGTGTACGTGTTTTTATTGCATTTGTATTGCATAATTTGATATAATATAGTTTTTATTCTTATTATTAGTTTTTTTTCATTTTACTAAGTTTTTGTCTGACATTTTTTTTTGATGAGTGAAAATGGTATGATAACCCCGCCTGCGCTAATAGGATACGCTGGCGGAGCACCAGTGAAGGGTGATAGATGACAACGAAAACAGGCCTGTTGGCCCATCATGATGAATTCATCAGGAATTAACCATGATAGTTTCCAGGGGGAACAGTAACAGTATATTGCTAGTAATAGGGCAATTAGTTGCCATTACTAACAATCCATTCTCTCCATTATTAGAGAAGCTTGGGTCATTTAAAAAAGGCACGTCTATTTTCAGACATGAATATACAGTTACAAGTTTCTTGATCTTAAGGTGGGCATGGCCCACTCTGCTTTCTTAAATATGTCTATATTCTTACATTCTGTCTTCTGAAGGGTGGTAGTTTGAAGGTATTGGGAGTTGACATTGTATTAGGTTACGGTAACCGCTTACCATTGGGAGGAAAGAATTGTTAGTAATGTGAGCTACCAGTTCCTATCAAGTAGACCAACACGTGGTCCCCTCTGGAAACCATCGTGCTGAATTCCAGGTGTATTCATTACGATGGGCTAACTGACCTGCCTTTTCATTCTCTCTTATCATCCTTTCTTGGTGTTTCGCCAGCGTATACCGTTAGCGCTGGCGGGACTACCATTCCATTATCATCTATTAAGAAAAACCGCTTACCATCAGGTCGGCCGTATGCTTAGTTGCCACCTTAGCGGTATTAAAAAAAACATTAGTGATAATTTTTGCATACTGTATTTTCTGCAATTCTTTAAGCATAAATGTTAGTAGTTTGTGCTATAAAATATGTGGTTACGGTGATCTTTGCTTATCATCAGGCGGACAATTTATTTACATACTAAAATGCTTATAAAATTGTATATTAAAACTAGGTAAGTCTACCTACGCAATATGAATGCAGAGTACTACGACTACTACAGCAGACTAATGTTTTCTATTATTAGTACTAGTCCATGGTCATATCGCCACACGTCATTCTCTTCCCGTGAAAAACGCACACACGTGTTTTTTTTTTTTTTTGTTTATAAAGAGTAATAAACGTATTTTGTTAGTGATTGTTTTTGTGTTTTTCATTAAAATGGCGCCATATGATTGGCCCATAGATACTGAAAATTTACCTGTTATGAAAATTGTAACCCCCCGTAATGTCTTGATGTGCGGAATATATGGGATGTAAGTACTTAAAACCTTTATGCTAGAAATACAACTAACAAAAATATTTCAATATTATCCACACAAATGCTATATTTTAAAAGTTGAAAGATTCATAATTAGAATAAAGGTTTTTGAATTGACCGAATGAAAAAAAAATTTTGAATTATCCCGCCGTTGCCAATATTAAAACTGCGTTGTATTACATTTATAAAGTTCAGTAAATAGAATTATTAAAATAATATACTTATATTAAATATTTTATTTATCATTGCTAATATAATATATAAGTGAAATATTTTAGTTTGTTTTTTTTCGCTTAGAGATTAATTAACAGTAAAATTTGTATTACATGTCTGTTACAATCTCTGTAAACAGTGCAATACATCTGTGGCATATTACTGGCCATCTTAATATACCTTTTATATAACTGGTCATCGTCATCCGTCTTTTATATTTTTATATTTCTATTGTTCTTATGTTTTTACAATTCTGTCATTAGTCTTTATGTTTTCCTACCAATGAAGACGCGATAAAAGAGAACTACAATATTAAGCATTTTAATTAATCAACCCGTTTCTCTTAACGTCACTCGATCTAATCAATGTCACGCACTCAGTTTGCTGTCAGTGTCATTTTTATTTGAAGATCGAATAAAATTCCAGACAAATTATCTTTTTGAAGACTAGGCAGCATGGTCTCCGACCTTAGCCTGTTCCAAACGGAACAAACGTACTAAAAAAAAAAAAAAATTTGAAGATCGAATTTAATTTTCCATCAACACTGCACAAAACATTATTGAATAAATTAATATTTCTGGTTCAAAAATAACACTTCTTTATCTGTCATGGCCTTAAAAATTTGAAAAAATTCAACTAAAGAAGTAAAAAACAAAAAATGAGTTCAAACAGTGTTGTTTCATCTAAAAGCTCGAAAGAGAGTTCGAGACCGGGTGCGGGAAATACAAAACAAGAAGATAGCACAAGTCCAGATTTTATTTATGGCGGGCCCTTTATTAAAGTAGAGAAACCGGAACCGTTTTTTGATACAGCTACACCTGTAAACCTGCTACTTCAAGGGACATTTAAAAAGTATGTAAATTTATCATTGTTTTTGTATAGTGCAAATGGTTTAATCCCTTCGCACAGTTTGCAGAATGTTTTGTAATTTTATTTCTATATATATGAGGGTAACCTTTTTAGTAGAATCTTTGATACATTCGTATCTTTAGCCCCTTAGCTTTAAGATCCTAATTTTTGTCAAAATTTTTGTTTCTGACTTTAGTTGTTTTTTTTTTACAGTACTATCCTTAAGGGTATCCTGACCGCACTGTTGTGTTGTTCAGTCAGTAGTAATCCCGTCATGATATAAATCACTATTTAATCCAAATATACTTAATGATTATGTAAACATTTAAATGACATTAAGTACTTACTTAATTATTTATCAGTGTCTGTAAATTGTACTTAACATATTATATAATAAGTATTTTTTTGCTTACTTTATCTTTCCATATCAATGAACAAAGAACAAAGTTCATTGCAAAATAATATAAATCATTTCATGGCAAAATCCATGTTGTTAGTGGTATGTGAAACTAAGTATATATCCATAGTGTAGACGATATTAGGACAGAAATATTATGAACCAAAAATTAAAAACATACATAAATTTTGAATGAACTGTTAGGCTCAAAATTCAATTCATATTTCTTTGATGAAAATATATTTCAATCATTATAAAATATTTTAATATAAATTTATACATAGCTAAGTCCTTCTGACATTCAGGTATTGCCTCTGACTAAATTTAAAAAAGAGCTAACTAAATGGCTTTTAGACAAACTTTTTTATAGTATTAAGGAATATCTTGAGTGTTAAGCGTGACATTTTAATTATTTTTTACCCCTTCTGTTGACATTTTTCTATTTTGTAAATTTATCGTATTAGTTGTTATGTGTAGATATATGTATAAATGACATAATGTACTATACACATCTACACTTTTAATATGTAAAGTCTAGTTAAATAATGTAATTGAATTATAATTTTGTTTACCGGTTTATTTTTTATATAAAATGTAAAATATTTGCATGCCTACATCTTTTAAGGCAATTAAACAGGTGCCAAAATAATTACACGTGGCTTGTTATAATTTTAAACTGTTTAATGCAAATAAACTTATTTCATTTCATTTCATTTCCAAGTATGGTATGTGAAACTAAGTATAGTATAAAAGATATTAGAACAAAAATAGCGTGAATCAAATATTAAAAATATATATAAATTATGAATGAACTTGTTAATATGAAAAGTTCAAAATTCAGTATATGTTTCTTTGATGAAAGTATATTACATGGGTGGCTTGGGAAACTTTTTTTAAACCATATTAATTGCATAGACTGTATTATTATCACATAATAGTTATTAATACAACCATTAAGACATAACTATGGATATTACAACATGACAAACGATGAAACATGTGCCACAAACCATATAGTGTTCATATGATGCATTTCTATCATAACATCTCCCAGTTTCACTGGTAGAGCACTAAATACAACCTATGTATTTTCTAGAGTAATAGATTTTTATTAAATATACTGAAAATAATTAACATTTCAAAGTGTGTAACTTTCCTATTTTTCTAATTAAAATGGTCTGGGTGGTATGGATTTAATATCTTTGGCATTGGCTCTCTACCTACACCATATAAGACCTGGTATGACCTAGATGATAATAAGATATTGAAATGCCTAAATATATTTTAATGATATATAATTCAATATAATATTTACAATAAGAGGCTTCATTTGATTAATAATTTAAATAATTCTTGTGCTGTTTGTTAATGTAATTTACACAAATTTATAATTGTAATTTGTAAATTTGTTAAAAAAAGTAATAATCAAGTTTTTACCTGTTCTTTTCAGCTGTTAATTATTTTCTAAATAGGCGCTAGAGTTATGAGTTTTTTTACGCACAACGGCCCAAATGAGAGGCTAAGCGCAGAAAATAGTGTCCTATTTACATTACATTACTTTTTAAATTGGTGCTAGAATCATAAGAAAATACTATTCATAAATGCTCCTAATTAAATTTACTGGAGTAAAAATAATTCTTATTCAGAAATGTATTTTCCATCACCTTGAAGTGATAACAAGGTGATTATCAATATCTGTTTATGGCCAGTATTAAAAAATTGATTATTTATTATTTAATTTGGTTACAATAAAATTTATTTTTAGAATAGATACACACCAACCTATACTGATCTGTCTCTACATATTTTAAACACAAGGTCACAAAGGTTGTTTAGAAAAAAAGTCATAGAAACATACATTTTGATTATTAGTCTAATTTATGTGAAATACTAGTAAACATTTTTTCTGGTGCTTGTACAGGGTACAAGATTTTTTTTATACAACTTAGAATGGCAAACAAGCTGACGGCCCACCTGATGGAAAGTGGTAACCGTCGCCTATAGACATGAGCAGTACCATGGACATAACAGAGTATACTGTTTCGCCCATGATATCCCCCATGCGTTGCCATTCCTGAGGACTCAGGTGTTATTCCTCTGTACCCAGTAAATTCATGCCATATCCCACTCTTCAAACCGAAACACAGCCATGCAAACACAGTTGCTTCTAGGTTGAAACACGAATGGGACAGAGGTACCCAAGCAATTGACTTTTGTACAAAATCTCCCTCTGGTAAATACACTAGATGTTATAGAGGCATCGAACTTAATCCTCTCTAATGGCTACGGGCGTCACAGTGTTCTATGCTGTCACATCAATAAAACACAAATCAAACTAAAAACCATGTTTCTTTTTTTTTTCAGGAGTTTTGCTTATTATTCACTAAAAGGAAGGCTGCCAATTATTTTAACTAAAGTTATAGATTACTTATCAAGAGATGGCAGTAGAATTAAATCCACTCATAATGCGGTAAGTTTTTTTAAGCTAATTTCTAAATAAAAAGTTCACTTTCCTCCATTTGCCTTTTGTTTACGACATTATACCATTAAAGTCAATTGATTTACTACCATATTGTTTTAATTTTACATGTAAGACAATTTAAGAATTTCTTTTTTCTTTGCCAAGCAAAGTACTGCTCCTTCAAAGCAAAATATTGTTTGTACAAACAATATTAATATCAGTAATTAATTTATCATCTTCTTATCAACAGTTAATATTTTTTATTGATAATTAACTGCCAAGTCTTAACTAATATATATAAAATTTGACAGGTGTTCAGAAAACATCTTGAATATTTTTTAATTAAAAGTGAATTGATCACTTTTAACGACAATTCTCAATAGCTATATGAATTTTTTAATTATTTCTCTATCTAAATTTATATTTGGCGTACAAAAAGAGAAAATTAGATTGTTTTTAATCGGTTTAGTATTATTTTGTTTAAAAAAATCTTTCATCCAAAGAAAACTTTATTGTCAATGACAAACATCTGCTGTTTTATTTAAAAAAAATATTAAACTATCTAACCATGCGAGTCTCTAGTGTAACGTAAAAACAGAGATAGGTAACATAGAAAAAAATGTCTACAACTATTTGATAAACGTCAATCAACGGGTTAGTGGTCGAAATGAAATCTTCCACTATTCTAAAAAAAAATCAGTTTTAACCAGTTATTGTTTATAAGATACCTAACTGAAATAAGTCGTAAACTGTTATCATGCTAATAAATGATAAGGCTGTCGACATACAAAAAAAAACTATTATGTAATGTCATTTGTCAATGTCAGGGCCGTGTGGTCCCGGCATAGAATAGGCCACCGCTTCCTTTCCCGTGGGTGTCGTAAGAGGCGACTAAGGGAGGGCGAGGGATGGACAGCAGCGACCCTCTTAAAACATCTCCAAAGTCTAACTGCGGTTGCCAATCTGCCTACCAAGCGTGGCAACTATTGGCAAAACCCCCCCAAGGGGGAGACCTATGTTCAGCAGTGGACAGTTAAAAGCTAAATTTATTTATTTTAGCTATTTATTATTAAATTTATTATTTAAATAAATTTCCTATAGAACTACAGACTATGTACAAGGAAAACCCTAAAAAATATAACTTTAAATGAAATAAATATCACCAGAGGGAGACTTTGTACAAAAGTCGTTTGCTTGGCTACCTCTGTCCTATTCGTGTTTCAACCGTGAAGCAGTTGTGTTTGCATGGCTGTGTTTCGGTTTGAAGGGTGGGATATGGCGTGAATTTACTGGGTACGGAGGATAACACAAGCTGACGGCCCATCTGATAGAAAGTGGTAAAGGTGGTGGAATTTACAGGGTACAAAGAAATAACACCTCAGGAATGGCAATGCATGGGCGAAACAGTATACTCTGTTATGTCCATGATACTGCTCATGTCTATAGGCGACGGTTACCACTTTCCATCAGGTGGGCCGTCAGCTTGTTTGCCATTCTAAGTTGTATAAAAAAAACTGACCGAGTTATGAGGTAACAACATAAAAAATATATACAACCGAATTGAGAATCTCGTTCTTTTTAATATAGGTTAAAAAAAAGCATATACCAACTAAATAGTCTACTTTTTTTTTTATTGGATGAAAATGGTATGGTAACTCCGCCTGCGCTAACGGGATACGCTGGCGGAGCACCAGTGAAGGGTGATCAATGAGGATGAAAACAGGCCAATTAGCCCATCATGATGAATTCATCAGGAATTAATCATGATAGTTTCCAGGGGGAACCGCGAGGAGGTCGACCTGGTTGGATGTATTGTTAGCAATGGGATTCTTAGTCTCCATTACTAACAATTCCTTTTCTCCCCCCCCCCCCCCCCCCAAATAGTCTACTAGATGGTGTGTTAAGATAAATCATATACCAGTTTTTAAGTTAGACCTTCAGATATACAAAACTGCAATTTGCAGCAGTTGATACTGCAATTTGATAAAGCAGTTTTTGTGTGATGTCGGAACAAACATGCAAATAGAAATACAGTAAAAGTTATTGTTTCAGCATCTATTGGGCTTATTAGGACCCCTGATATCATTTTTCTTAATATCTCCTCTCCCATGTACAGACATCTTCTACTTATTTTTTTTTAATACAACTTAGAATGGCAAACTTATAATGTCATTGTAACAAGTAAGATGAATGAAACACCAATAAAATGATCTTCCTCCTGTTTTCAGAGTGATGAAGATATAAGAGGCTACATACAATACATAACGAAGCTCAAGAACGATTTGCTTACCAACAAGAAGTATGACCTCCTCACGGTGGACACCCCAGAAGCGAACAGGTGGAACGAATGGATCCTGTCATCGGAGAACTCCTATTATTTTACAAATACATGGGTGTTCTCTGAATGTTACGTTTATAGGAGACTGAGGGAAGGCTGTGAGTTGAGGTGAGGTGAAATCAACCTGTGTTTATTTTACATATATCCTGTCTTCTTTCATATTTTTATTGCCAGTGGATGATGTTATTGTCAAATACTTGATATTTCTCTTATCATCATCATCATCATCGTATTAGACGTTAACTGCTGAACATGAAATGAAATGCCTCCCCCATAATGGGGGGTTTTGTCTGTAGTTGCCACGCTTGGCAGGCGGGTTGGCAACCGCAGTTAGGCTTTGATGTTTTAAGAGGGACGCTGCTATCTATCCCTCGCCCTCCCTTAGTCACCTCTCACGACACCTACAGGAAAGGAAGGGGTAGCCCATTCTATGCCGGGACCACACGGCGCTTTTTTAATTTATTTGTTTATAATATTGTACGGCTTAATAATTATTATTATATTGCTAGTAATAGGGTTGCTGATGCCCATTACCAACAATCCCTTCCTCCCCCTTATGGTTTTTTTATGGGTGATAACGGAATGGTAACCCCGTCTGCGTTATCGGTATACACCGGCGGGGCACCACTGAGGGATGATAGGTGAGGATGAAAGCAGGTCAGTTAGCCCATCGTGACGAATTCCACTAGACTTAACCATAATGGTTTCCATGGGAACCGCGTGGACGTCGACCTGATAGGGTATATTGCTAGCAATGGAATTGCTAGAACCCATTACTAACAATCCCTTCCCCCTCTCCCTTTATGGTTTGGTCGTTGTAGTGCTTTCATCCTCACCTATTACCCTCACTAATGCACGGCCAGCGAATACCGATAAAAGCAGACGGGGTTACCATTATTTTAATCACCCATTTCAAAAAAAAAAAGTTACAAAATCTGCTATATGTTTTATTTTGGTACGCCATCTAGAAGTAGCCATTTTGATTGGTTTTCCTAGTTGTAAAAGTCACGCGTACGAAATTACCAGCAGAAGCATATAAAGTAATTTTTTTTTATGTAATTTAGAATGGCAAACAAGCTGACGGCCCACCCGATGGAAAGTGGTAACCGTCGCCTATAGACATGAGCTGTATCATGGACATAAGAGAGTATAATGTTTCGCCCGTGATACCCCCATTTGTTGCCATTTCTAGCAACTTAACTAAATATATCTTTAAATTAAGTGATAGCATTTTAACTCTATCTTTCCAGCAAAAGCTTGAAGAATTTCGATCCGTTTGAGGAACAAAAGGAACACGCGTTAAAGAGCAATATAGAATTGATGTGCGTGGTCGCAGACAAATTGGTCACCATGTTGCCGGCCAGCGGGAAGGACAAACGGAAAGCGGATTTCGTAACACTGTTAAAGGTATCAATCCAACTACCATCTGGCTATGTTAGCAAATAGGCTAAATTCTTTCAACATAAACCATTGCGTTGCGTTGCATGTCGAAAGAACTCAACTATAATTAATTTGTATAGTATAACAAGCGAGCCGCCTCGGCTTCGCACGAGTACAATGCTATTACTAAATAGCGCCGCCGGCCCCCGGCCGGTACCGCCGCACCGCTATGTCCCTGCATTTTAAATCTGTAATATCTTCGAAAATATTCATTTAAATTACATGCTGTAAAAGGCCATATTGATCTATATTAAATGCACAATTTATTTAAGGTACTTAATTGGATAAAAATGAATACTGTATTACTTAAAAAAAAATCTGAATGTCGTGCTGTAATCCAGGTTTATTCATCACGATAGGCTAACTGACCTGCCTTTTCATTCTCGCCTATCATCCTTCACTGGTGCCACGTCAGCGTATACCATTAGCGCAGGCGGGGTTACCGTTTAATAATCATTAAAAAAAAACGCTCCCAATAGCGCAGGCATCCCGTCACATGTACAAATGCACCTCTAATTTAAACAAAAAAAAAAAAACATTAAAACTTAGTGAAATAATATGTAACTCTTTGTATTCTTCAGATTTGTCTATGGGCGAACAAATGCGACCTCTCGCTGTCTATGGGCGAGCCGGTGTCGTTTACCGCAGACGGGAACGCAACCAAAAGTCAAACTAAAGTGAACGTCGCGCCCGTCATTGATCCGTTCCAGATGATTATAGATCTGAAGGAGAAGGTAACTTTTTAATATGTCAAGTACAAAAAAAAAAACGGAATTTCACGTGTAGTGCTTTTTTATTTTTTAGGCTATCGATTCATTATTCCTACAATTTACTCAACTAGTGACAGTATGGCGTAAAAGGTTTTACATTAATGTACATTTACCAGAGGGAGACTTTGTACAAAAGTCGATTGCTTGGGTACCTCTGTCCCATTCGTATTTCAACCGTGAAGCAGTTGTGTTTGCATGGCTGTGTTTCGGTTTGAAGGGTGGGATATGGCGTGAATTTACTGGGTACAGAGGATAACACAAGCTGACGGCACACCTCATGGAAAGTGGTAACCGTCGCCTATAGACATGAGCAGTACCATGGACATAACAGAGTATACTGTTTCACCCATGATACCTCCCCATGCGTTGCCATTCCTGAGGACTCAGGTGTCTATGTAATCTAAGGATATAAGCTATTTTTTGATTCCAGTCATTTAACATACATATAGACAAAAACGCAAGTAATAACTAGTCGTAAATAAATATTTATATTTGATTAACATTGTTTCAGCTACTGGTAGACGACTCGGCCAAAATAGCCGATCAGGTCATAGCGAAAGCTGAAAACATGGGCAAAGCTGTTGAAGGGGTGAGTGAATAGTTCATAAACTTTTAACGTCATCTTATGTCGATATTAAGTCCACAAAGACCAATGTCTGATTTGTTTGTTAAACACCCACGGGAAAGGAAGTGGCCCATTCTATGCCGGGACCACACGGCAAGGTTCAATATAATATTAGCCGATAATTTCCACTACTATACGACTAGGCATAAGTACCCACCAAGATCCATTGTTTACTGACGAAACCCTGTGCCATCTACCAATCGCATACTTCTTGAAATCACAAATGAAACGACATAGTTCAGTACACAATGATGTAGTATTGTAGTATTTTTTATTTTATTACGAGGGGAAACATAAAACTGAGAATTATTCTTAGTAACAACTTATTTATATTAGTATGAGCATTGCGTCTGAGCATCTTCCGCTAGATTTGCAAAATATTACATTCTTTGCTTTGCCACGATCGACTGTACTATTTATTTATTTCTCATTGCATTCCATAATATAATTAGTAGATAACATTTCAATTATGGACCCTGTTGGGCACAGCAAGTATGGTAAGAGAGAGGAGGACGACACTTTTTTTCACTTTAGAAATAGTCTAAGGATCTGTTACAATATTATCCAGTCATTGATATTGTATCACGATAGCTACGTATTTTCTGTATTATTATTACTAATAGTCGCGATCGACCGATTGGCCACACCCTGATTTAGACGAATGGCAGTCCACTGGTGTACGTTTTACGCGTCACTTCCTGCCCCGTACAATAAAAATGTAGAACGAATCATCAAAAGCGATATTTCCTAATAAATACGACGTGGAGACCGTCAAGAGGTGAATTTATATCTTTAAAAAAGGCCCGCAACGCATTGGCGACTACCCTACTGTCCTTGGAGTCCATGGGCTGCGGTAATCACTTGCCATCAGGTGAACTGCATGCCCATTTATCGATCTTATCACATAAAAAATATTGCTATATTATAATTACAGAATACGACATTTAAATACCAATGCAGTTGTCACCGACTGGCAACACTGGCTGGTGTGCCAGTACGCAAAGAGGTTCATAATGTTGCCATATATTTGGTAGATAGCTAGATAGATATATTAATTTATTTGCATCACTTACAGCACACATAACATTAGCTACTGGTACATATTTTAAGAAATAAAACAAAGCATATACAAAAAAAAAAAAAAAAAACAACAAAAAAAATATAAAATAACAATTAATTACACAATTTCGAATAGTAGTTGGTTTTTTTTTATTTATTTTTATAGGTGATAATGAAATAGTGACCCCACCCGCGCTATCGGTTTACGCTGATAGGGCACCAGTGAAGGATGATAGATGAAACAGGTCAGTCAGCCCATCCTGATGAATTCAACGAGAATTGTTCACGATGGTTTCCAGGGGGAACCACGCGGAGGTTGACCTGATAGGACATATTGCTAGCAATGGGGCTGTCAAACTCCATTGCTAACAATCCCTTCCCCCCAATAGTAGTTGGTTGGATAGGTAGTTGATTTATGAAGCATCGTTTTTTTTTGCTGGGTGAAAATGGTATGGTAACCCCGCCTGTGCTAACGGGATACGCTGGCGGAGCACCAGTGAAGGGTGATAGATGAGAATGAAAACAGGCCAGTTAGCCCATCGTGATGAATTCATCAGGGATTGATCATGATATTTTCCAGGGGGAACCGCGAGGAGGTCGACCTGGTTGGGTATATTGTTAGCAATGGGACTTTTAGTCTCCATTAGTAACAATCCCTTCCCCTCCCCCTATCTAGTGGGTTATCTCAAACTGGGTATGCCTGTACGGGGATCGCCACTCAAGAACCTTTCTTCCCCATCGGTTGTCGGTTCTTCGAGCTATGTGACCAGCCCATTGCCACTTCAGCTTGCTTATCCTTCGGGTTTTCTGCATAACTAGCTCCAGTTACCCACAATTACAATACAACTAACCTAACACTTCCAGCCACCGCCAGAACTTCCAATTGCTAAGGGTTCTGCTAGCTCGAAGGGTTCTCCCGAGCCCGCGTCACCAACGGAACCCGAGGAAGGCGTGGAGCTGCCGAAGGTACCCTGCCCCGCTAAGATGACTACACCCCAAGCTGTAATATTTGGTAAGTACATATGAATAAAACTTGACAATTTTTTTTTTAATTTAATTACTCTCAATAAAAATTCTTTTTTTTTTAATTTTTTTTTTTATTTTACTATATTATTCAGTGTGTAACTGCATTAAAAATGGTATAACCTTGTTTCCAGACATCGTATGTGACAACTCGGCGTACGAACTGTTTTCGGACGTATGTGTAGCACACTTCTTGGTCTCGCAAAAAATAGTACAAAAGGTAAATATTTATATACTCATTGTCTTATTTATAAAAACGTGAATCCATTATATTTAATATTTGGTTATTCGTGATGATGGACTAACTGACATGCTTTCATTCTCACCTATCATCCCTCGCTGGTGCCCCGTCACCGTTGCAATGAATTAAAAATGAAAAAAAAATCATTAGCAATGTGTGTGTAATAAAGATGGAAGTATTTGTTTGACTCCGCTAATCTCTGGGACTAGGGAGGGAGGGGGGAGGGATTGTTTGTAATGCGGACTTCCAATTCCATTGCTAGCAATATACCCTGTCAGGTCGACCTCCACATGGTTCCTCCTGGAAACTATCGTGAACAATTCTTGTAGAATTCGTCACGATAGGCTAATTGACCTACTTCATTCTCACTTATCATCCCTCACTGGTACCCTGCCAGCGTATACCGTTAATGCAGACCTATATCTCACCAGAGGGAGACTTTGTACAAAAATCGATTGCATGGCCACCTCTATCCCATTCGTGTTTCAACCGTGAAGCAGTTGTGTTTGCATGGCTGTGTTTCGGTTTGAAGGGTGGGATATGGCGTGAATTTACTGGGTACAGAGGAATAACACCTGAGTCCTCAGGAATGGCAACGCATGGGGAGTATCATGGGCGAAACAGTATATTCTGTTATGTCCATGGTACTGCTCATGTATATAGGCGACGGTTACCACTTTCCATCAGGTGGGCCGTCAGCTTGTTTGCCATTCTAAGTTGTATAAAAAAAAATTTGCAGGTCAGATTTCACGTGAAGAAGATACCTTGGTTCGTGTCAGATGTAACTCCTAGGGATTTCAAGTGAGTATTTAAACTTTTTACATTTGTTATGTTATTTAGAAAGACAATAAAAGCTGAACGATCCACCTGATGGAAAGTGGTAATCATTGCGCACAGCACTGTAGTTGTCACAGAATACACTGTGATGCCCGTCATCGTTATCATCATGATTTTTAACTGTCCACTGCTGTACTGTACTGTCCATTGTTAGTAGTTGCCACGCTTGACAAGCGGATTGGCAACCGCAATTAGGCTTTGGAGATGTTTTAAGAGGGACGCTGCTGCCCATCCCTCGCCGGGAAAGGAAGCTGTTATACTAGCAGCCCGTCCCGGCTTCGCACGGGTGGACATTTTTACAACATTCTAAAAAGTGGTTATTGTGACCTAACGGTAATAGTTGGACATATAATAATAATAATAATAATTTTTATTTCAGACTTTTTGGTCCATTAAATATTTATTAGTAACAATATTCTTAAAAACTAATGTTAGTAAATTTACATACACAATACACATACACACACATACACACATACAATATATTAAGCAGTATACAGATAATCACCGCTGCACAATTCCATTGGAAATTGCGCAGCAGTGATTAACGTACACACAGTCCAGCCTGCTTGCTATCATACTCAGGATGCTGTTGGTGCTGGCACGTACTCTGCGCACCAGGGATGCACACCTTTTTCGCATCGTGGCATAAAAACAATCTACACGATGCTCAGCGAACATCCCTGACGCGCTGCAGAATCGTGGCAGCCCCATCAACACCCTGAACGCGTTATTATATTGGATACGGAGGTCGCTGTAGGATTTTTGAGTATATACAGCCCACAGGTTGCATGCATAGAAAGATGTGCAATGTGATCTAAATAACGTAATTTTAACTTGTCCAGAGCACCGCGCAAACCTGCGTGCTATCATATTCGCCCTCACCGCCAGCGCCCTCCGCTCCCGTTCAATGTCATCATCATCTTTGAGATCCGAGGCCAATTGATGTCCTAAATATTTAAATTTATACACCCTCTTCAGCGCTATACCCTTAAGTTTAATATCTGGAAAGCCTATTGAGTTTTTGCCTCTGCTCTCAAAGACCATGACCACACTTTTCACAGCATTGTATATCAGTCCGTGGCATGCAGCATATGACTCGCAAATAGCCACGAGTTTTTTAAGCCCACATATCGACGCGCTGAGCAGCACCATGTCATCAGCATAACTTATATTATTAACATTAATGCCGTCTATGTGACAGCCGACACGGGTACCACTCAAAGCAACAATCAGATCATTAATATACAGATTAAATAGTACCGGCGAAGACAACCCTCCTTGCCTCACACCACACTCCAATCTGTATGACTGCGACATAGTCCCCGCCCATCGCACGCTATTGAGCTGATTTCCATACCAATATTTGCAGATATTTATGAGCTCTGATGGTAATTGAAAATTTTCGAGCTTTTTCCACAAGATGTCATAAGAAACCAGATCAAAAGCTCTCGACAGGTCGAGAAAGCATGCATGGACTGGCGTTTTTCGATTTGTATAGTATCTAATAGCATGCTTAACACAAAGAACAGCGCTTTCAGTTGACAGTCCAGTTTGAAAGCCAAACTGGTTGTCATGAAGTTTTATATGCTGAGTCAGTCGAGAGTTAAGCATGCTATCAAACACCTTTGAGACAACAGTAGCTAAGGAGATTGGCCTATAATTATTTTTGTCTGTTATATCAGAAATTTTATTCTTAACTACAGGTATCACCACTGTTCTAATCATCTCCTCCGGCATGTACGAGTGACTTATACGAAAGTTAAAGAGCATTGCCAACAGTCTCGCCAAGTGTGGCCCAGCATGTTTTAGATGTTCAATACTGAGACTGTCGTGTCCTGGAGATTTACCTCTACTCATAGATTTTATAATTCGATCTACTTCACTAGCAGTACATCTAATTTCCACCACACGTCCAGTCTCAACATTCAACTCCGCACGCGATGGCCCCAAAGGGGATTTAACAGTAAAATGATCCTTAAAAAGATCAGCTATGTTCTCGGCATTACTTACGCCTTCAATAGACACAGGAAGGGCAGACTTTGTACTTAGCTTCCTCGTAGCCTTCCAAAAAGACCGAAAGTCATTATTAGAATGATGTGAAGCTAGAATATCCATCTTTATTTGTTCTTCGTGGTCTTGACACCACTTTAGACGTTTCTTAAAGTATCTTCTAGCCTCACACATATCATTATAGATGGAGCCAACTCTAGGTTTACCATAATCACACCAAACATGAAATTTCTGCCTGGCATTCCTGTGTGCCTCATTAACATGTTTATTCCAACCTATTACAATTTTCTTTTTCTTACGCTTACAATGTGTGTTATTTCTACTAGCTACAGCCGCTCTCTTTAGTACATTTATTATATCATTATACAACTTATCAATGACCTGTCTATGTTGTATAACATTACAAGTCTGATCGGCACAGTTATGGAACTCGGATGGAAACTTAAGAAGTTTGAAATGAGAATGACACTCATTATAATATGAGTCGATTTGTTCTATGCCTCTGTCACCCCACAAAACATTGTTACGTTCACATTTTACTTCTTCTATCTTAGGTGGAACTACGTCTAAATTACACTCAAGAATCAGCGGAAAATGGTCTGACCAGAGTATGTCATATTGTATGTGCACTCTACGTACAGAGGACACAGCCGCTTTCGATACTATACAATGATCTAGCCACCGCTGCGACCCATGAGCTTCACTCACAAACGTAAAACAGTTCGATGAACCCTTCAACATTTCTATATCTATACAAGTCCATTCCTGTTCCTCACAAAATATAGATAATTCCTTAAAGAATGATTCTGTGGGATGAGCATTGAAATCGCCCATAATATAAACACAATCCACATTATTACTGTCTATGATTGCACTTACCGAGCCGAGAATGTCCGTAAATTCCACTAAGTTTGTAGACATATCGGTAGGCATGTAGACACTCATCACTAGGATTGACCGCCCTTTTAACATTATTCTTATCGCACATATGCGGGGATTATCACATGGCACTACTACAACATTGGAAAATACACTGTGCCGCCAGAGGATCGCGACACCACCGTGCGGTCGCCCGCGCAGTATTCCCTCCGTTGTATCGATCGCCGACGTTCCCGTAGAGGTAAACTCGCAATCTATGCTGCACAAATATGATAGGTCACTCGGCAACAACCACGTTTCTTGCAGGGCTATGATATCCGATCTTTTACATAATTCCCGTATCCCTTCTACAGAGCGCTTCACATTCTTACAATTGAAGGTAACAAAGTTGTAGATCCCACTATCCATAATTTTGGTGTGTAATGCCGTCAATGGAAATATGTGCGTTTCCAGTCGATTTTTTTAGTTTAAAATTAATAAACCGTCGAAAAATTATCCCTTCTGGCCATATATTCTCATCCAAAAACAACGAGACTTTGTTTTGTGCTACAAAGAATTTGAATGCATTGTAATCACATTGACGCTTAATGGATATTTTCTCTAATGCCACTGTTTCTTGTGTCATCTTACAAATGTATCGAACGATATCTGATTCTGACGTATTTTTATGCACATTAGTAATAAACAGTGGTATTTTTCTCTCAGCAGCTCTAAACATCTCATCTGTTCCGATTACAACTGTCCCTAATTTTCCTTCAATGCGTCTATTTTTTTTTCTTTTCTTCTCGACGATTGTCCATATAGTATCGCGAAGTTTTTTTTAGTTATTGATATTTTCTTCAATATTGTAGAACATACTTTTGTTCTATCACCAATAGTTTCCGCAGCGCACGCGACCAAAGATATTTTATAGCATTTTTTTACACCTTGAGTTACGTTACTAAAGTTTTAGTAAGGATCCCTAATCTTTTCTAGCAATAAATATACCCTATGTTACTAAGGGTGAATGTAGCTTTCTAACGGTGAAAGAGTTTTTGTAATCGGCAAAGTAGTTTTTGTGTTCATTCATTACAAACATACATACACACAAAAATACAAATCTTTCCTCTTTATAATATTAGTGTAGACAAACATTATTTATTCTTAATCAAACATAGCCTACGGTGTCCCACTGCTGGGCAAAAGCCTCCACCAACTGCTATTATTATTATATTTTTATATTACTCTCGTTTCAGTTACTTGTTACAACAGTGCAAGAACGCAACTTACAGAAGAGAAGTACCATCAGACCCGGCACCAGGTAAATAATTGTTCAGAACATCCCCCCCCCCCCCCACTCCTGCTCTTTTAACGTTAAGAAAATTCTTATGGAGAATAAAATGTCTTAGGAAATGTGAACCCTTACCGGCTTACCTGACAACTTACTTTCAAATCGAAAGTCTTAGGAGAGGGAATGTTGGTCATGGGGACGTTAGTCACCATTGCTGGTAATAAGTCCTGTCAGACCACTACGCAATACCCTGTCAGGTCGACTTCTCAATGTGGTACTCCCCTGGAAACCGTCGTGCTGAATCTCAGGTGTATCCATCACAGTGGACTAACCGACCTGCCTTTTCATCCTCACCTATCATCCCTCGCTGATGTCCCGCCAGTGTATACCGCCTTTTTAATGGGCGATAATGGAATGGTAACTCTACCTTCGTTATCGGTATACGCTGGCGGGGCACCAGTGAGGAATGATAGGTGACGATGAAAGCAGGTCAGTTAGCCCTTCGTGACGAATTCCACTAGAATTAACCACGATGGTGTGTAGGGGGAACCGCGTGGAAGTCGACCTGATAGGATGTATTGCTGGCCAGTTAGATCAGTTAAGCTGTATCAGTTAGACCCCATTTTTTTTATGGAAAAAAAATGGTATGGTAACCCCGCCTGCGCTAACGGGATACGTTGGCGGAGCACCAGTGAAGGGTGATAGATGAGAATGAAAACAGGCCAGTTAGCCCATCATGATGAATTCATCCTGGAATCCTGTTCTCCCTGGAAACTATCATGGTTAATTCCCTAGAATTAACCATGATAGTTTCCAGGGAGAACCGCGAGGACGTCGACCTGGTTGGGTATATTGCTAGCAATGGGATTCTGTCTCCATTACTAACAATCCCTTTCCCCCCGTTAGACCCCATTACTAGAAATCCCCCCCCCCCCCCGTTGATAACGTTGCAGCGGGCGTTAATTCCTTGCGAAATCGTCGGGAACAGCTAAATGAATCTGTTGAATTAACTTTATATCCGCCGGCAGAGGGCGCGGCCGAGCCGCGTGTGGTGACTTCCGACAACCTGCGGACGGTGGCGCAGCAGTGGCAGCAGTACATTGACGACGGCACCTTCATCGTCATGGTACACTCAGAAATATTTATATAAAAATTAATACAAAAAACCTTAGATTATATAGATAGAGCGTGGAGCCTAAAAAACGGGTCAACTTTTTGTCAGCTAATCGTAAAATTAGCCGATACGTTTCCTTTTATCAGTATTCTATAAATTTACGCATAAAATGTATCTTGACGCATACCCACGAGAAAGTAAAGGGAAGCCTATTGTATTCCGGGACACACGGCTTCTACACGGCTATATGTATGTATGTATGATGAATTGTATTTCTTTGAGAAAATAAATGTCTAACACTAAAAATTCCAGTGTGACGACTTCTGGACCTCCCCGCACGTGTTCAAGGACATGAAGAGGTACGACAGCGACGTGTACAGAAAGTTGCAGTTCGCCGTCGCCGTGCTGTTCAAGGGCGATTTGAACTATAGGAAGTTGTTGGGCGAGAAGAACTGGAACCCCACCACTGGGTTCGAGACCGCGCTGCAAGGTAACGTCGGCGAGCTGGTACTGTAGGATCGATTCTTCACTGTTGCATGTCTAGGAATGTAAATTCCAAATACCCTTACAAATAACAAATTGCAGTTGATAATATTCAAAATACTAATAGTGAGTTTTGAAACGCCAAATGTTTTTGTTTCTACCTCCGTGGAAAACAAGCATGACATATACCCGACCAGGAGTCGTGCAACCTGAATGGTTTTTAATAGTTACACAGGGGGGAAAGGATGGTTAATAATGGGGAGATTAGTTCCTATTGCTATTAATATGCCCTATCAGATCGACCTCCACGCGGTACCCCCTGGAAATCATCCTAACTAATCTATCGTTGAATTCGTCACGATGGGCTAACTGATCTTATAGGTGTCCCGCCAGTGTACACCGATAGCGTAGGCGGGGTTACCATTCCATTATAATATTAAAAAATAGTTAAATAAAAACACAAATGTTGCCACAATTGATTTTTTTTTAATATTTTGCGTTTACAGGTTTTACACCGGCGCCTGTCATAGCTTTGCGGACAGTGAAGGCCGACCTAATATGTGGACTGCCGAAAGGAAAATACGAGCAGTTGTCCAAGATCAATGAGAAGTGGATGGAGACTGGAGATTATGGGTAAATCTTCGCTGATAGTGTCTAAAAATATTTTTTAGGAAAACTGCGTATCAGAATATTTTACTTGAAACACTTATTTTTTTTATGTACAACGCCATCTAGCGCTGAAATTATTGTTACCGCTAGATGGCGCTATATATACAAAAATTTATATAATTTATCGATATCAAGCCAAAAATTGCCATTTTGATAGATGTAATACTAGAAATGATCACATTTCAGTCAATGTTTTTAATATAATATGGTATTACTTGTTAACAGTGTTTTCCATTATCAATTTGCATAAAAAAATATTGTGTAAAGCAAATAAAATGTATTCATATAATTCATTAAATTTTTTCAGATTGATCCAATTCTGCCCGAAATCTGAACCTCTGAAAGCAGGCGAGCGACCGTGCCCCGACTATGGGGACACCTGCTTTGGGACTGTCTGCCCAACACATACTGACCTATAGTCATTGACATGGTCAAAATTACTTTTTCAGAGGTGGGGAAGGGGATCAAGCCCTTTAATAAGGTACATTATGTACCCTGGACTACATATCTGTACGCGTAACTGAAACTCCGCCCGTATCTTGGAATAGACACCAGAATATTTTAGGTTGGGCACGGATCCTCCCGGCCTCTCAGTAATCGCGTTTAAGAGTATAAATTGACTTTGAATTATTTGAACATAATGTCATATGTTACAATAGAAGCATTTGTCTACCCATAGAAAGAGAATACCATAGTAATGCAATGAGCTTATTCATTGTGAAACAGCAATAGAATGACGTCATTAAGTAAACGAACAAATAAAAAATTTACCTCCTTAATCCCAATGTGTAATAATAATATAACTATTTAATTTAATCGGATAATATATAAGCACGCTTTAGACGTGACAAATAAGTTGAGTCATCCAAAAACTAAAGTTTACACAGAGCAAGACAAAGGAATATTTCCGATCTTGTTCACGCTTCCATGTTTTGCTCATAGTGGTGTCTCTTTCTATTACTGACATGGTGTGGTTTTTTTTTAATGGGTGAAAATAGAAAAGTAACCCCCCCCCCGCTAACGGTATACACCCGCGGGGCACCAGTAAAGGATGATAGGTGAGGATGAAGCAGGTCAGTTAACCCACTGTGACGAATTCAACAAGAATTGTTCACGATGGTTTCCAGGGGGAACCACGTGAAGGACGACCTAATAGGGCATATTGCTAGTAATGGGGCTGTCGAACTCCATTGCTAACAGCCCCTTTCCCCCCGACATAGTGTGTTATATCTGTTACGACCGCTGTTATTCTAAATCTATGTGATAGTAAAATCAAAATTTAATATTTTTTATTTTCTTTCTACCATTAGAATTAAACTTTTCCTCTAAAGAAAACTAAGTTGAAATTAGTTACAAAATTTCCGCTTCCAATGCTAACATGACAGATATACATAAGTGTGGATTATTTACATGTTTTGACTTATAAATTTGACATTAGCTTACATTTTTTACGAGATATGTACAAACAAATTTTAAAGCTTTTATAAACTATAAATATTTCTATGTCCATAATATCAATTCTTGCATTCTCTAATTTTTTTTTTTTTTATTATTTATCTTACAGCAGTATACATATTGCATTTGTAAATTAATGTATCGTTCATTATTATCGGAATTATATTTTAATAATTAACATTGTTTTGAACTCATTTTTTGTTATCAATGTTAAACTATGTTATTAAATTTATTATTAGGCACAATTATTAAAATTGAACTACATTTTATATCTTGTTATTTCTTGTAGATTTAAATATACATTTTTCCAATTGTATTTTATTTTAAATCCGTATAGGTACTTGTAATTTGCTTAATTCCAAAATAAGGAAGTTTTTTTATCCAAACTACTGGGAAGTAAGCCATCAGTAGGAACCAAAGAAAGTAGGCACTTTTATTTTAGGTAGCCAAAATTAAGTGAGATACAAGCACTAAGTTGGGATAAACTTGTGCTTATATACCAATAAATTTATACTCACTGTAAAAATAACAAGGGCTCTATTAAAGTTTTAGAATATATTAAAATAGTTCTCTGTGTAAAGCGTGACAAGTGTGTGAGCCTGTTAAGACAGGTGATCAAAGCTTGTTTCTAAGATAATTTATTATACAAGAAACTTGTATTATGTGGATTACATGAGATTACCAGAGGGAGACTTTGTACAAAAGTCGATTGCTTGGGTACCTCTGTCCCATTCGTGTTTCAACCGTAAAGCAGTTGTGTTTGCATGGCTGTGTTTCGGTTTGAAGGGTGAGATATGACGTGAATTTACTGGGTACAGAGGAATAACACCTGAGTCCTCAGGAATGGCAGCGCATGGGGGGTATCATGGGCGAAACGGCATACTCTGTTATGTCCATAGTACTGCTCATGTCTATAGGCGACGGTTACCACTTTCCATCAGGTGGGCCGTCAGCTTGTTTGGCATTCTAAGTTGTATAAAAAAAATTACATCATGTAATCGACCACCGCTTTTTAATCTTCACGGTTTCAACAGCATTATTTATGTATTATATAATTCCTATATGCACCTTCCACACTTCCAGTTAAGGTCTAGTAGTGGTGGCCAAGGCCGGCTTTTTTAATGGGTAATAATGGAGTGGTAACTCCGCCTGCGCTATCAGAATACACTGGCCAGGCACCAGTGAAAAATGACAGGTGAGAATGAAAGCAGGTCACTTAGCCCATCGTGACGAATTCCACTAAAATTAACCACGACAGTTTCCAGACCTAATAAGTTGTATTTGCTAGCGATGGGTCAATTAGACCCCATTACTGACAATCCCTCCCCCCTCCAAGTCCGGCTTTAGCTTACCTATCGCTTTAAGGCAAGTTATTAACGGCGCCCATTCCTCTTCTGAGAGTTTTTTTTAGGTGATGTTGAATGGATGATTATGGTATGGTAATCCCGCCTGCGCTATCGGTATACACTGACGGGGCACCAGTGAGAGATGACAAATAAGGATTTATATGACATTTAGCCCATCCTGACGAAATCAACTAGAATTAAATACGATGGTTTCCAGAGGGATCACGTGGAGGTAGACCTGATAGGGTATATTGTGGGGCTATAACAAGGTTTTCACAATGGGGCTATTTGACCGCATTACTAATAATCCCTTTACCCCCCCTTATGAGATTATTAATAGCTTCATTGCTAGCGATACACACTGTCAGGTCGACCTTCTCGCGGTTCCTCCTGTAAACCATCGTGTTCAGTTCCAAGTGAATTCGTCACGATGCGTTAACTGAACTGCTTTTTATTTATTTAAACTTTATTGAGTAATAAAATATGGTACAAAGACGGACTTAATGCTATAGGCATTCTCTATTTTTAGGATGTAGAGAGATACTCGACGGTGGATTAAAAATTAATTAAAAAAATATATATTTATAATTTTAGTATAAGATGGTGAATTACAATTTTATTCTCATCTAGCATCTCTCACTGGTACCCCGGTACCTATATTGTTGATATAATAGTTGCCACGTTTGGCAGGCGGATTTACAACCGCAGTCAGGCTTTAGAGATGCTTTGAGAAGGACGCTGCTGTCCATCCCCCGCCCTCCTTGTCGCCTCTTACGACACACACAGCAAAGGAAGGGGTGGCCTATTCTATGCCGGGACTACACGTCAAAATTAAATTTTACGTAATTGTATAATTTAAATATATATTTATATGGCAATTTATATGCCAATTTTATGCCGGGACCATGTTAAATTTGCTGTAAATTAAATTTTAGCCAATTTTTTGCGGGACAGTTTATTTATTAAAGAATTAAATATAGATAAGTCGTGTGCGCAAGTATACAGAACATTATTAAAAAAAAAACAGTTAGCTAATTTGATAATTATTAATCTGCCTAAAAGTAGACCTGTTAAGACTCGATTAGGACTCGATATTCTATCTATATAATCAAGGTTGGCACTAATAACTGTCAGTGTCATTTATTTTTTGTCGTTTAGTTCGTTTGTTGATATCGAAATCTAACCTAAAATAATGTTTTTATTTTTCAGCTTATTATATAGTATGTAAATATATTTTATAAAATGTTTGCAATTAAACGAATTTTAACCACATACAATTTAAAGTCTGTCAGAATTAAAACACCTTTACCCGTGAAACAAATACATCTGACATCGGGTAACGAAATGTTTTAATAATTTCCTTTGTTGTAATTTTAATGCAGTTTTGAGATGATAATTGTGTATTTTAGGTCTGTGGCATGGAGAATATGAGTGGAAGGATCCCAAGTCAGAAGATGAAGTGTAAGTCTTTTTTTTTGTAATTGTCTTTCTATTTGTGAAGATACCATAAATCAGTAATCACTATTTATAATTATATGATATCACTAATTCCTAACATTCATACATTCCTTCGATGTATTTTCTCCTTTTTACATAAATGACTTACGTTAAGACCCTTATAGGTTAGATAGAGAGAACTAAATATCAAGGGCATCCATTCTTACATAGTTTTTTTGCTTCCTTAAATTTCAAACCTCATGTATAAACATAAATTCAGAGCATTTCATTCTCCCTGAGATAGTACATGATTTACCTGATTATGACTGTTTAGTCCTGACCTTCCCCAATATTAGCATTCTTTCATACACACAAAACATAAAATTGTGCAATAACTTTTATTTTATACTTACCTATACTCTAAAGTATACAAATATTACATAACCTCTAAATTTAATATGTTTTAAACATTTTTCAGGGTAAATGTTGTGTACATAGATAAAAATGGCGAAAGGGTCAATGTAAGAGGTAAAGTTGGAGATAATGTTTTGTACCTAGCACATAGATATGGTATAGAAATGGAAGGTCAGTATTCAAAGACACTATTTAACTACTTACTAATATTTACTTGTAAAATATTGATTTGAAATTTATAATACGAGTTGCTATTTTGTTTTTCAATTTATTTACCTTATAAGTTTCCAAATTCAGAATTATACATTTAAAAGTATTTTCATATTTCCAATATCATCAATAAACTACTGGGTAGTTTAGCAACATGCTTATTTGCAGGTATTTCTTATTCTGTACTTACTTATATTAATGGGGTTGGGCAACTTTAATGAGAGATTGCTTGTTATTCTACTTTCTGTGTGTGCTGAAAACATAAAAACCTGATATCTATTTTGTGAATAAATGAGGCCAGAATTTGATTTTTTTTCAGGCCAAGTTGGGAAATGAACTTTCCTAAATTGGTTCAAGTCTGGATGTTCTGGATTGTGCCCCATATATATATTGCTTGGTTTGATATAATTCTAGTCTAACTTGAGGACCAGGCAATGGCTGTGATTGTGTGACACTTTTTGTCATAATATTATTTATCATATAATTGTATTCATATTTAAATAAAATATTAATAGGCCGGTTACGGCCAGCATGTATGGAAAGATTGATTAATGTGAAGGAAGTAAAAGAGGCTTGTTTGAATCAAAGCATTTGGGGTTCCATTGTTTCTGCCTACCCTAATGGGTGACAGACATGACTGATATGTATGTATGTACTTTATTTTCAGGTGCATGTGAGGCGTCTTTGGCGTGTACAACATGCCATGTGTATGTAAACTATGAGCACCTTGATAAGTTACCACCGTCTGAAGAGAAAGAGGACGACCTACTAGATATGGCGCCATTTTTAAAAGAAAATTCAAGATTAGGTAATTAGCAACTACTTATCTATTTTTTTATAAGTTTGTTTCTAAGCAAATTGAAATGGCAAGCAAGCTTTCGTTTAGTCATTCATAAATTTGAAAAAAGGCATTAGCACATTTATTTACTTGTAATAGATAAATGAATGATATCTGTACCTATAATGAAACACTGCATATGTGATTCACTGTTCACCCCAAAGGTTTACTGTTAGAGATTGCTACTAGTGAAATATGCATCATAAGGTTACTTATCAGGCTTTTGTAGCATATTTTCTTTCTGTCAATAAAGTTATTTAAATAAATAAATTAGTAGTGATAACGGACATTAGGGATATCTGTATATTGGTAAAAGATAGAGGTCTGTGTGGCTATGATACAATAACAATAATTTATTTGCTAGAAACACAGCTAGTAATATGTTAGTTTGTTTTTTATTGTCCAAAATGTTTAATTACATTTAATAACATACAAATCTTTAAAATTTATATTAAAAATAGATAATATTCATCATTCAGATGTAATAAATCTGCTTTCTCTCTAAGGGCATATTGTAAAGATAAATGGATGTAGCTGTATGTACTTTTACTATTTATGTGAATATTTGGTCACATTTGGTATTTATAAATCTAGGACCAAACTTTATGAACTATATAAACAAAGAAACAATACAACAGACACTTTGTTTCATAAAAAATCTGATTCTAAAATTATTAAATAGATTTGCAAAGCAATTAAGTGTCTCTATTTCAGTTAAATTATATTTTTCAGAATGGAAGGTAATTAATAGCAAAACCAGAAAAGTAAATGGTCATGACAATAAAATTGTTTTAAATATTAAAAATCAATTCATTAATGCTGACATTAAAGTTGCAGAGACATTGGATTTTTTTCACTAAACCTCTTCATAATTTGCAACAACTCGATGTTTAAATCTTCAACTGTTTCTTAAAAACAGTGATCTCAATAATCTTAACACTAGATATAAATATAAACTCGCTGTTCCGAAGTATAGTTTAGAAAAAGTTAATAAGTCTTTTACGGGAATAGGTATTAAATGTTATAATAAGATATAGAAGAATATTTTGGATCAGCCTTTTAATAAGTTTAAAACTGTTATTAAAAACACTTAGTAAACAAAGCCTATTACACACTAAACGATTAGTTGAATGACAAATGTGCATGGTGTTAGTCGATCATACTAACTTTTTAATAGCCATGTAATTTTAGATATAGTACATTCAAATAAATATATAGTAATTGTTGCATTTGTTGTCTTGCGGGCTCTTCTCAGCAGAGAAAAAACTATTACGATTTAAAAGTACTTGTAAAACAAATATATTTGAATAAAGTTGATTTGAATATTAAAATTTTGTACCATGTACTTACAATCACTTACTAATTAAATTTCTCGTTCATTTATTTTCTGATTTATATTAATTTTTTTTATTAAAGGTGTCTTTTAACAAATTAATTTACTTTGCAGGTTGTCAAATAGTGCTCACCAAAGAACTAGAAGGCATCGAGTTGACATTACCAAAAGCAACTCGAAACTTCTATGTAGACGGACACAAGCCTACCCCGCACTGAGAACAGTTTGGCTGTTATAGTTTTAAGTGTTGATTTTGATATATATGCATGAATATATGTTACAAATAACAATAATAAATTGCCAAGGATGTATTATAGTCGCCATCTAGTCCTTAACTAAGTGGAGTTCGTACTATGAGTACTTGATTTGGTAAATGTACGTAAACATTTTTGTTTTTATATATTAGTATATTTATATATACATACAATTGAATTCAAAATAAAATATATTGGACAGAAAGGGCTCAAATGAATATAAAGACATATGTATAAAAATTACTAGTTTTTTGAGATAAAAAATTAGTAATTTTACACACACACGTTGATTTAAGAAGTACATATACTAGAAATGAAATTGGCCACTTCAAAATGGCGTATTAAGGTGAAACAAAGTTTAGGATATTTACGATCACAACTGTGAAAGCCGTATCCAATTTGGCACAGTAGTTTATTAAACAAACATACGTATAAATAAACAATTTCTAAAAAATATTATTTTGAGTCGTATTGCTCTTATTAAAAGCTTATATCATCGTTTATATGTCCCACGTACTTCTTCTTCTATTATCTTCTTGTTATTATTATATTACTAAGATTACTAATTAATCTAATTTGTTTTTTCTTATATAATTGCAAATTTGTATACCTCGATATATGGAGTTGATCATAGAGGACTTATCTTGTTTTACCATCCATTGTTACCTATGTATCACAATTTAAATAAATAAATGCTATTGCATAGATTATGTATAGAGCAAGCTATACATAATTAGGCATCATGCAATTTATTTGTTCAGAATTTATATTACAACTTTTACTTTAGCAAAACTAAATTGAAACCGCATATTTTTGTGTTTTTATTTTACTATTGAACTTAATAAAAAGTGATCATTGTACTAAAAAATAAAAATATGACACGAATTCGTGCCAGATAGGCTGCGTGCTTACATTTTGTTGTCCATGGACTTCCCTTCTCAATTTTGCTTCTTTAGGTTCTTGTGGGCGTAATATTTTTAAAAGACAACTCCTCTGTCTAATCTAGTAACATATTTTTTTTTATGCAAATAATTGTTAAAATTTTTATAATTATTAGTCCAATTGTAAATAGAATATTATGGAATTAAAATATCATTTAATTATAGTGTTTAATTTACCAAATTTATTATTAGAAATTATGTTATCTTAAATGAAAAATATTTATATATTCTTTATTGCACTTAAACAATACATGCGACGAATTTTTTGCCAAAAATAACTCTATGGCTGTACAGAGCTGTAATCAGGCCAATGTTGGTCTATGGTGCACTGGTTTGGTGGCCGAGGACAAAACTATCGACCACCGCCGCCAAACTAAAAAGCTTTCAGAGACTGTTTTGCTCTTCTGTCAGCGGCTGCATGAAAACAGCTCCTACAACAGCAATAGAGTTGGCCCTCAACATAACACCCCTAGACCTGCACATACAGCAGGAAGCGGCGTTAGCCGCTATCCGACTAATGCATCTGGATCTATGGGGTAAAAATCACTACAGTCCCCACACTTCTATTCTGAACCAGGCAATCGAATATGAACCTTTGATTGCGGCTCCGTGTGACAGGACTCATAATCATTATATATTTAACAAAAAATACCAAATACAAATTCAAGAAGAGGAAAAGGACCAATCCGGTGTACATGAATTACGCATATACACCGATGGCTCCAAAACCGAGAACGGTTCAGGAGCCGGAGTCTTTTCCTTAGACCTGAATATAAACGTGCACATACCGCTTGGCGTACACAGCTCAATATTCCAATGCGAATGTGTTGCAATAACCGAGGCTGCTGCAGTTGTACATAAGCTAGGAATAAATGGTTTTAGCATTAGATTCTTATCTGACAGCGCAGCAGTACTAAAAGCATTACGAAACAACAAGACAAACAACAAATTGATAATTGAATGCCACCATTCACTGGATAGGATATCTTCCAATAACCGAGTTATCCTCCAATGGATAAGAGGGCACAGTGGATCTTATGGTAACGATGCCGCAGACGAACTGGCTAGAAGAGGCTCAGGAACGAGGGTGGTAGGCTCGTATCCACTTCTTCCTCTTCCGTTCTCGCAATTTCGAATGTGGATTCGTCAAAGATCCGCTGACATACAAAACCAAAGATGGATACAGGCTATTGATTGCAGACAATCAAAATTGGCCGTACCTACGTTGAATCAACGACTATCAAAACGTTTATTACATCTAGATAGAAAAAACCTCAAAATAATGATAGGGACAATAACGGGTCATTGTCCATTAAACAAACATTTATACACAATAGGAGCCACAGACAGCCCTCTATGTCGAGGCTGTTTCGACGCTGAAGAAACGGCTGCTCACGTAATCCTGGAATGTGAGGCTGTGGCCTATCAACGTTTAGAAATCCTCGGAACGGTGAGGTCGCTCCGTGAGGCCTGTGAAGAACCCAGGAAGCTTCTGCGCTTCTGGGTGGAGCTAGGTTGGCTGTACTAGCCACGACTCACACGCACAACGGCCCAAATGAGAGGCTAAGTGCGGAAAAGAGTCTTTCTTACATTCTTACATTAAACAATACATGCGACGATTAGTTTAACAACTTGTTAGCAAGGGAGGACTTGTGTCTGAAAGAGATCTCTTCCAGCCAACCCAGTGTAGTTAGAGAGAAAATGATTTAATTTGGGTAATCCAGTGCAGAAGAGGTACCGGTGAAAATAATGTCAATATATTCAGGTATGTAGGCTCATTCTAAAAAAGTATCAGATGAGAGATAACCTACAAGGCATAACTCCATCTATAGAGAATCATTGGTAAATACACAAATTGGTTTTAGGCGCGTTGCTTTAATGAGATTCCGGGTTCATTTAACATTTGAGCCAATTTAAGAAACAAACTCTTCTGAATTGGCTCAGATCTGGGTGTTCTGATCTGTCCCTAGGTGTTTATTACCTGGATCCTGATAACACAGGTATCTTTAGGACAAGTATCTAGCTTGAAAATCAGGCGAGTGGTGTGATTATGTGGTATTAAATATTATTATAACCTTTCAATACATATATCATCATATTAGCCTTTAGCTGTCCACTGCTGAACATAAGCCTCCCCTCCTTGGGGGTTTTGTAAGTAGTTACCATGCTTGGCAACTGCAGTTAAGCTTTGGAGATATTCAAAGAGACGCTGTTGCCCATCCCTCGTCCTCCTTTAGTTGCCTCTTACGACATCCATAGGAAAGGAAGGCGTCGCCTATTCTATGCTGGGACCGTACAACTACAAATATAAAAACAATATATGTAAAATAAAAGCTTACAGAATAGAGACAAATTGGTGTCACTACTATGTCAGCTTATAAAGGCTATCATTTATCACTGATTCTCCGCTAACATATACCGATAATGGAATGATACCGCGCAGGCGGGGTATCATTCCATTATCACCCATTAAAAAAAAACTAAATCTTAATTCAGTTCTTGTATGGGTATTTTGATAATCACATAGTGTATTATAAATAGTATATAAAAATAATTATATTTTTGTACATAGGAGATATTCCTTCCTATAATTTCATTCTAACACTGTTTCTTACATGACTATCTGTATGTTTCTTCAATGATTGTTTATACACTGTCTTGTAGCTACATTTATCACAATACAGCATGTGTTTCTCAGGATTATGTTTTAATTGATGACTCCTCAATGCTGATTTTGCTGAACAACTGTAAACGCAACCAGTGAACTCGCAAACATACGGTTTATCATTTCTATGTAATCTTTCATGGATTTTCAAATTTGGTAAATAATTTGTTGCGTAATCACAGTGGCCACATTTTATGCTTTTCTCAACTGAGTGCGTACTTTTGTGTTGCTTGAAATGTGATAGTTTTAAAGTCCTATAGCCGCACGTGTCACAGGAGTAGAACTTAGTATTTGGAATATTATGTTTGTATAGTAAATGTTGTAACATTTGATGCTTATCGTCGAACATCGCTTTGCAGAACTGGCATGATGACTCTAAATCCTTTATATCATGGTCTTTAACATGATCTTCCAAGTTATTTAATGACTGAAATCTCTTTTTACAGATGTGACATTTTATTTTACTGTTCCTCTTGTTATTTGCTATTATATTTTTTAAGTTTTCAGCATCTTTGGCATGTTTAATTTTAGTATGATGTCGTAGTGTTTGAACGGTGGAGTATGACAGCTCGCAAAATCTGCACAAGTATCTGCCAAATTCATCAATATTTTTGTACCAGGTAGCAGCGTTTTTTGATGTTTCCTGAGAAATAATACAATAATGCGATTAATTAAAAATTTAAAGTGCTCACTCAGTAACTTATATGTAAAATTTTATATTTACATGACTATAAGATTCACACTTGACTTTACAATGACTGTTTGTCTTTTCCCCGGTAAGTAATTCATTCTGGAAAAAACATGGGGTATTTATGACCTTTTATATATATATATATATATATATATATATATATATATATATATATATATATATATATATATATATATATATATATATATATATATATATATATATATATATATACAATAGAACGTCCGCACTTGAAAAACTCAAAATTAAAATTCATACATACATAATATTTGGGAAGAAAAACATATGCTACATTTTATATCAGCCAATTTATTCTGATCACATGAACAAAGATGTGAATAATAATTATTTTATTTATATTTTTTTTACTGAGGTTTTCATTAATGAGAGTGGTGCGTCACTTGACCAGCGTGGTGATTAAAGGCGTACTTAAGGGGGGAGGGGGGTAGGTGAGGCTTGGTCATGCCAGTACCCTAATGCATCTTTTAATTCTGCACAAAAATATCTGAGCATGTACAATATGCTTTTAATTTTAAATACGTTTCAATGGGGAGATTTTACACTCTAAAGAATATTTTAGTTTTTATATTAAGAAATAAATACATAATATTTATTATGCAATGCGGGACTTTTTGCATATTACTAAAAATATAAATCTAATATAATCTAATATAATTATAAAAAATATAAAGATAAAAGGTAAATCGAGATAAGTACATACTTTCTCTTCTACACTGGATATTGAAATATTGTCTTCAGAGTTTACTATTTGTAAATTTAGTTTTGCATTTTTAAAACATCTGTCGCTTAAGGGGTCCCGTTCGAAAGACTCATTGTATTCTATCTTTATTTCCAACTCTTCGGAGTCGCTACTCATTTAAATTAAACATGTAAAACAATGATTAACCCGAATATAGGTAGCAATTAGTAAAACCAAAACAATAAATAAATCAGCTGATTGTGTGACATTAACTGACATTTGACGGTAAAGTTCATTCACCCGATGTTCTGTGTCTAAAAATCCATTTACAACAATTTGAAAGATTTTAGTTTAGAATCTAGTGTATAAATTAGACTGATATCTATATATTAACATAATTAAAATACTAAATATTCATATAAGTTTGCTGGTATTGAGATTTGTAATAGTAAAATAAATCTCGCTTCATTATCTGTGGATTATACCCTCGCCTCCGCGCATCCCGTACCCATTCTCAATCCTATTCGTTCACGGCTTGTTTCGCTTTCATTCGTTCAATCAGTCTGCTCGCGACCGTCGTGATAAGTGGTATACTCTTTTGTTCTCCGCGTAACGCGTTTCGGTGTGATTTGTGTTTTGTTTAGTGGTGCACGATGGCTTACAACGGTAGTGGTGGCAAAAGACTGTGTACGGCGACCGACATCGACGTTGAACGGGTGAGTATTACAATATCCATCGCGATCGTCCCAAATCTGAAGTTCTGAACAGACGTAGACCCGACGAAAATGGCCGTGTTTTGTCCAATTCCTTTACGTGTTTCGTATCGTAATCACAAAATATTCTTTTAAACGTTTCTCTGTAATTGTGTCAAAACTAATATTAAGTCGTTTTGATAACAAATCATTGTTGCTCGCTACATCTGTTGTCATTTCCACGTTTCTATGTTATTTTGTCAGTTTTGAGGTTACATTTTGTTGACATGCAAAAAGATTTTTGTGCTTCGTTATTCCTTTATCTTGGTATGCTTTTTCGTATAATTTTCGACTGCGGCAACATGTGTTCACCAAAATAGTATACCCTAGGTAGCGTGTGGCCAGACGCTGTCAATTATTGTGATTGACAATTTGACATCGCTCGGTCGTTAGGGATACGCGGGAAACCCGATGTTTTCTAGGTCGTGGACTTGCACCTTCCCGCTTTTAATGTGGAATATTGTCTAGTTTCTATTCACAAAAATTTCACAAATAATTTTACTCCGTTATTGTTTTTTTTTTTTTACGTGGCACAACGTCAAAATTTTATGTAGTGAAAGAACTTTTTTTTTCTGATTTTATTGGCTTGGAAACAAAATCTTTATGCCAACTCTTAATTTGAAATCGTCTTAAAAATTTGAGGATGACATACAAAAAAAAAAAATTCGTGCAACAAAATACAAGTGTTTTTCTAAACATGAAAATACTTATTTGCGATTTTTACAATAAATTAATAAAAAAAAAATGTTTATTAATAAGCTTAAAACATCTATACCTAATTTTCATAAAAAAAATATGTGTTGGAAATATAATATTTTTATTAGATAGGTACAATATTTACTATCAGTTAGCAATAGATAGTGATAACATTAAATAATATATGTAATGCATTTATCTTAAAAAAAAAAAGAAAGAAGAAAGAAAATTTTAAAAAAAAGTTAGAACAAAAGATATTTTTTATTCAAGTAAAAACATCTATTTTAGTATTTTTATTATGAATTTATTACCCATTTCAAAATGTAATTTCAGCTGAAAAGAATGTGCAAGAAACTCAGCTTTAAAAAGTTTAGAAAATTTAAATCTGTAAAATATTAATACAAACTACCAAGTTGTTTATGTCTAGACAAATTTTATAGCTATAAAAAAAAACACAAAAAACAGAACCATACTCAACATAAGTCCTTTAGGTTAGCCAGGCATTGCTCAAGTTTTATAAAAGTAAATACATAAATATTATGTTTTTTTAATACCACTAAGGTGGCAAGCATATACCTGATGGTAAGCGGTTGTACCATAAAAAAAACAACTTTAATCTTTTTAAAACTGCTATGGGTCTATGACTTTACTCCCAGTTTTAATTCAAAAAGTTATCAAACTCTATTTATAAATTGTTTAAAATATTTTGTGTAATATATGTACAAAAATTACAATTGAAATAAAAACCTCTTTTTTTAAAGCTGGGTGAAAGTATCAATAAATTTATTAAAATCACCATAAAGTGATAGGAGTAAGAATTCAGTGTATTGCCATTACCATTTCATGCTCAGAATATTATAACAGGTGATTAAGAAAACAATGGAATATACTAATTTAATGGAAGGAATTTTCATTATTTTTATTGTATTATGTTTTGTCCCATCAATATTAATGCATCTATAAAAATCTCTGTTAACTCTATGATAGACTAATTAGAAATGTCTTGATGTGTCAAAAACACAATATTCTCTCTATTTTTATTTATATTGTGTATTTATGCATTAATGATAATTAAAAAAAATATTAAAAATAAACACAATACCAAGTGCCTGGTCAGCATAACCATTCAATCTTGTCCTCAACAGTGGAATGTTAATGGGTTTTTACATAATAAAGTTACATAAAAAGCAAACCTATAAAACACAATGCAGAGTGTTCTTTATTTAGTAGTATTAATTTTTAGAGTGACTGCCTTCGGAACCCATTAGTTCCGCTAAATGTAGTTTTACTGATGTATTTAAAAATATAAAACTTTGCTCTTTGACATTATCTACAGCTGTTGCAACTAATCTTGATCAAAGCATTATAGAGACAATTCTAAACAAATTTAGTACAGAGTATAAACTTTCAGAGACAATAGGCGTAGCAGTTTTCTTTTTTTATTCACTAGCAGGCATAAACATTCTTTGGGGACAGTGAAGACATGATTAATGATCATGCAAAGGTTAATGGTGTACAAATTAATTTGGTTTATAGTTGACAAGTGTCTCTCTTGATGATTTGTTTTGCAATATGTTAATTCTAAACTACTTTGATGGTAGTTTGACCCTAATAACAAAATTGTCTCCTAATTGATTTGTGACTTTTATTACCTTATAATTTCAATGTACTTTGATGATAATGTGCATGCTAAGAATATTTACTAATTCTGTCAAAGAAAAACAGATCATAGTTTTGTATATGACTAAAGTGGTATTTAATTATTTGTTTAATCTGGTATTTATATTAAACATACAAATATATTACATAAACAAACAAACGTATTATATAAACATTTTGGGGCAGACAGTAATTACAGACTTGGATAATAATAATTTTGCTTTGATTAGGTTTGATATATATATATATCCTACATTCTTCACGACTCTGGAACGCGCTTCCTGATGCCATTAAGAGACTACCGACTAAACCATCTTTCAAAAAAAGCGTTAACGCACACTTTTTATTTTTATCCGAGCAGTAAGTACTTTATATTATTCTCAATTTCGTGTATAATATAGTATATGTCATATATGTGTAAGTATATTTGTTATTTATATATATTTATTCGTTTATATATGTAATTCTAGTATGTCAATCTAATCTAATCTAGTATATCAATAATTAGTAGTACCGCATTCGAGTATTCTGACACTTCCCTATGGTTGACTGGGAGAGAATGCTTTTAGCATTAAGTCCGCCATGTACACATATTTGTACTAATGAATAAATAAATAAATAAAGCTTGCTCTACCAACCTTTGGGAAAACATGTTGTGGTACAAACAAAAGTGTGAATGTACTAACCTTTTTGAAAAATAAATATTTGCATAATTAATATAGGTACTGAAGTACTTATCAATTAACAGATGCACACTGAAACAACTCAATTTAATTTGATTTGAAGACCATCTTATGTCGCCTTAGTATAAAACTTCTAGTTTTACACTCAGAGCAAGTAATAACTACGTTATTTAAGAATCGACACTACACTTATATTGACGAAACTACAAAATAAATTTATGCAACTATGTAGAAGTGTCAACACAATAAAATAAATGAATCTTCATAGTATTCTACAATTTTTTGTAATATACCTCTGTCCATAATATTGAATTTGCATTTTTTAATTATAACTCATATTCTAAAATACAAAATTTTTAAAAATCTATGAATATAATCTAAGATTGTGGATACATAGATAATATAAAAAAATTTTTTGTTCGAAGTGACGTCGACTTAGTCAATTCCGACATGCGACTTATTTTGTGTTACAGATTAGGTAAGAAGACAGATATTTTTCCCGCCATCTCGCGACCCAGAATCGTTCACTATTCCCGCCTTTTTATTGATCTGCTGTGACACTTTGGGTTAATACTATTCATGAGAGCACAAGTAGCATATACGATATTGTTACTCAGAGCACGCACACATTGGCCACTGATGTAACGGAGACAGCTTTTTTTTTTTTTTATAGAAGGGTTAAGTTTGTTGAGTGATAATCATACTCATACAGGTTTTTATATGTTTACTATCTATGGCATCTACGTTCGGCACTATTAACCTATTGGATAAATTATTTTAGTATAGTACTAAATACGTTATTACTGTTATAAGTGGCATATTGCACTAGTCCCTTGCTGAATAAAATATATAAACAAAACACATTAAATTAATCAAAATGAAAATACTAAAGAAACTATTCACGTATTTGTTTTCGAAATTGTTCGATAATGAATATACGAATAAAATTGAACTAAATAATTACAATTCAGTAAAAAGAATCATTTTAATTATTTTGGAAAAAACCATAACTTCAATCGTCACAAAATTATTATGGCACCCAACTCTGTCTATTTAGATTATAGAGTGTCTCCATATAGATGCTTCGAGAAAAGCGGCTTAAGTTTTTTATACAATTTTGCGTAATAAACAGTTATGAGCGATTCCTTTACAACTTCTATATTTGTTTTATAATTTCTGCATGTTTTTAATACGTAAACCCTCATTTTGACTGTTAAATAATACGTCAAGGTACATTTTATGCGTAAGTATAAAGAACACTGATAAAAAAAAACTAGTCAGCTAATTTGACATTTAGCTGACAAAAACTGAATCTGTTTTTGGGACTCGTTGCTCTATCTATACAATTTAAACCTGTCTAATAAAAATAGAATTACCAAAATCTGACCCTGAATTTCAAAAATATCGTATAAGGAATAAGGATGTCTCCGCCTATCTGCTATGTATCAACTTCATTCACCATAGTTAGGTTTTTCTGTTAAATGTAAAATAAAAAAAGGTGAATTATAAAGCTTTGTCGTTTAAAATATACATATATGATCCCTTGTACTTAATTTGACAGTGTAATATCGCAGTAAATACAATTAGAGCCTCCACATACAATTTAAATGTTATACAAACCTACGCAGTATTAAACCGCAAGCCGTCCATAACAAGGCATTAGGCTGTATACCGTATCGTCTTGGAAATATCGACTTAACGGTCTGATGACAAAACCTTAAAATAAACCACCACCTACCTGCCTTAGATAGGTACACATACAGCACTGTACTACACATATAACTTGACATTTGTACAATTTTATTGAGCAGTATTATTATGAATATGAAAGTATATATATATATATATATATATATATATATATATATATATATATATATATATATATATATATAGGCTACTGTTTATTCCGGTCAGTAATTTTTT